ATTTAACCCAATTCCTATGTAAATTCATGACATCACCACCTGTGTAATATTTAACAAAAATTATGATATATTTAAACAGAGATGATAAGCTTTAAATGAATTGTGACCATGTGTTTAAGGGAAATACATTTGTATTAGTAATGTTTTCATATAAATGTGTGTTTATAACTTGACAGTTATCATTAACTTCATAATTATGTAAACTACAAACACATCAAAGATTCCCTACTTTGCCATAGGTTAAATTCAATCTTAAAGCAATTACTTCAGGGTGATTGCATTAAAAATAATTCTTTTAGATGAGAAAGTCTTTATGTCATATAAAGGTTCAGCACAGATAAAGAAAAACAGGAAGAATAGCTAAGGTACATGTATGTGGCTACAGTTTCAGAAGATAATTACCAATGATAATGCAGCAGAAATAAAAAAATGTTAAAATTAAAAATATGATGTAATGCACAGGTAATTTGTCATAATATATATACTATAACTTGAATAGGGGAACTTCAGAGGTAGGAGAAACAATTAGGTAATTTACAAGTAAGATTTTGCTTAAATCCTGCAGACAAATTTCCATATCTTTTCCCATGGTAAGATTTTTCTGGATACCTTTAATATGAGTGTAAGGTTAGCTCCATTATTTGCAATAAGATGCACAATATGGGAATTTCAAATACTATTGTCATCATTCCAACATTGTCCATTTACTTACGATTTTTATTCACCAACCATAATGCGTGTATTTTTGTGATTCCTTGAAAGTTGACTTTCTGCTCACTGCTGCCTACCTTAGCCATAGCTCCTGTTCTTACCGATCTTTTAAGCTGACATAGTTGAGTCAAAATTATCATACAGGTAGGATTGCTTTTATATGCCTTAAATAAATATTGAAAAAAGTCCATGCAGTACACAATGAAGAATATGCTGAAATAAATGGTACAAGGACAGACATTAGGGCACAGATGTAATTTTATGAAGTAATTAGCTAAGATGATCTAATATATTCACATGGTAATAAAATTATTTGCAATAGCAAAGCATATGCATAGATAGCAAGATACTGTATAAAACTCATTTGTTGAGTCTTAAAATATTTTTAACATTATTACTTGGAGATATGTAAAAGATACAGGAAGAATAATTTATGATATAAATATTCCTATTTAATTTTCTTGACTTAGAAGAAATTCTTCATTTAATGGATGGTGAAAGAATTAGTTGTAATTACATAAAATTCATGCTGATTCAATTGCTACTTATGATGTATATTCATATTCAGATAACTTTTTATTGCTGTGCCCTACTTTCACTGTTCATTTAAGGAGAGGAAAGGCTACCATTTCACTATGAATATTTTCATTCAAACACATTCCTTTTTTTTGATTTAAGCAACATCCATGGCGTGTACATTGTTGACAAAAACTTACGGTGATGTTGCTTAGTTATAGTGAAGTGAATTTTTCTTTTTGTGATTTTATTTGCTCTTTTTCTCATGGTTGTTCTGACTTTTCAATATCCAAATTGTTTATTTTTCTAATTTTATTTCTGAACATTTCAGAAGTAGACATATTTTGGTTGCATAATTTGCTTTTGTACATTTTGAGTCAAAGTTATAAGTGTGCCGTTCACCCAGAATGTATTGTGGGTGTGGTACTGTATTGTACCAGTTCAATGTGAATTAACTCCACCTCTCTTCCTCCTCTCACCCACTTGGTTCCCACTGAGTTTTACTTCTTCATGTGCAGAGAAGTGTTGATTGACTAGTTTAAGTATTGAGTACACATGGTGTTTATTTTTCCATGCCTGCAATACTTGGACAAATGGTCTCTAGTTCCATCCAGGTGGTTACAAAAGATACTAGATCCCCATTTTTCTTTTTAACAACTGTGTAGTATTCTACGGTATTCACATATATGCTACATTTTATTAATCTACTCATGTATTGATGAGTGTTTGAGGTGTTTCCACATCTTTACACCTGCGAATTGTGCTGCTACTAGTTATAAACATTTGAGTGCAAGTGTCCTTTTTTACAAGATGTCTTTTTTTCCTTTGGGTAAATACCCAGTAGTGGGATTGCGGGATCAAATGGTAAGTCTACTTTCAGTTCTTTGAGGTATCTCCACGGTAATTTCCATAGTGCTTATACTAGTTTGCAGTCCCCAACAATGAATGAGTGTTCCTTTCTCTGCACGTCATGCCCGTGTCTGTTGCTTTGGGACTTTTTGGTAAGAGCCATGCTCACTGGTGGTAGGTGATATCTCAACTGTAGTATTGATTTGAAATTCCCTAATGATTAGAGATTTTGAGCATTTTTTTCATGTGTTTGTTGGTCATTAGACTATCTTCATTTGCGAAGTGGGATGGTTTGATTTTTTTCTTGCTGATTTGCTTGGGTTCTTTGTAGATTCTGGTTATTGGTTCGTTATTGGATGTATAGAATGTAAATATTTTCTACCATTCTGTTATGTTGTCTATTTACTCTATTGCTTATGTTGTTGGTTGTGTAGAAATTTCCTGATTGAGAAGGTCCCATTTGTTTCTGTTGTTGCTGTGATTGCTTTTATGGTCTTCTTTATAAATTCGTTCCCTAGGCTTATATCTATGAGTTTTTCAAACACTTCCTTCTATAATTTTTATAGTTTCATGCCTTAGGTTTATTTTTCATAAAATACACAGAACTCTTCATGAATTTGCATGTCCTCCTTGCATCCATGCTAATCCTCCCTGTACTGTTCCAATTTTAGCATATGTACTGCTGAAGCAAGTCCTCTAAGTTGTTTTGAATAGTGGATAAAGGAGATCTGCTTTATGATAAATTTTAACATACATTGGACTAATTATGTATTCAAATATATGTGTGTGTATATATTAATAATAATGTATTATCTTATGTAAAATAAGTTATATATACATAAACTTTTTCTCTTTTATGTGATGAGAAACATGTCTCTGTGTTTAGAGAATGTGGTAGACAGTTTAAGTTTTGTTTATAGAACTTTAATTAGTCTAAATCATTAACTACTTGTGCAGATATAGAAACACAACACACTCAGCATGGAGACCTTAAATACAGCCCAAGCCCTTGTGTTTGTATTTTAGCTCCATCACCTACTATTTGATACGACTTTCAGCCAATTATTAAAATTCTTTGTGTACTATTTTCCCGATTTATAATAACTGTTCCCATATGTTGGATTGTTGTAAGGTTTCAGTCAATTAATGTCCATCTCTGGCACATTATGGCTGTTATTAAATATACATTGTCAATCTTCCTGGCTCTCTGGCTCCCTGGCTCCTTGACCACAGAATCTGCAGAAGTATCGTATACAGGTTATAGATTTATAAACATTAAATTTGAATATTTTTATTCAATGTGTATATTCTCCAGTGTACAAATTACATCCTTTCCTATTGTCCTGTATCCAGGTAAGCAGCCTGCCTCCTGAGGTATTTGTGTACAGAAATTTTTGATATGGAATGTACGTGACTGCTCTAAGCTGTCTTCAACTGCTTTACGATCCTGTATATCTTAAAGTCATCAAACTGTTGAATCTAGTCTGCCTAGATGCTTCGTTGTGTTTTCTATCAATCTGGTTTAATCAAATTCCAGCCCATAGTACTTCAAAAAATGATATTTTTGAATAATAAGTTTTAAGAGTCACTATGAACATTATTTCTGTTTTCACTCATAATACATATCTAATTGAAGAATAAGATTGCCAGAAATATAATCTAGTAACATAGGGATTTGCATCCTCTCAACATTCTGATCATGGGTATGAAAAGTGAGTCACTGCAAGGGAAACACCTACATAATACACACTCCACACTGGTGAAGCTGCAGCATCAAAATTTGGATAAAGACATTCTACTGCATATTTTGAAATATGTTGTTCCACATTCAGATTAAATTTCTCACAGTTGTAAAACTTTTCTTTTAAGAGAGAGATCTCAAGGTATCCAAATAAAAGTCATAATTGGTCTACAGTAAAACTAAGCTTGAAAAATTTGCACTTGAATATTATCTTTTGGATCAAAATTGTACATTATCACTTGGGAAATTACATAAAGACAAAAATTGAGCATAATATTAATATGTAACACACATATATATCTAAAAATACTCAAACCATGATGGCTTAAAAACAGGGGCTAAAATAGTACCTACCTAGCCATTGAAAGTGATATTTAGGAATTTAGTTCCAAAGGGTTGCCTGACATAAGAAGTCTTATTGAGGCACCTTGTCCACTTCAAGTTGGGATCTCAAAGGCCACAACTTCAATGCAACGACACACTAGGACTGTTTTTCATCCCTCACTCCCAATCAAAGAGCATTTTAGAGAAACTCATCTCTGTGCAGATCAGAGTAGGAGAGGAGACGTTAAAAGTAAAAAAAATATTTAAAAAGTTATATTTATAGATGGGTCTTTGCATACATTTACACAGTTGGATGAGAACCTGAAGATGTGAACTAGACAGAGATGCTTTCCAGTTAGTAGTGTCTCCAAGTTCTAGACTAATATAGAGAGCCCCTTTGGAAAAGGCAGCACTGTCATAGGAACAGGAAAACATCCTTACATTTTTTTCAAGGCTATTGACTATTACATACTCATAGATAATCAGGTACACAAGAATAAAGGTTATCGACCAAAGATCTGCACAAATGACAAACAGCAGCAAAGCCATAAAAACTTCCAATAGAATAATTATAAAAATATTAGAAATCTATGCTTATTTTATTAAAGGAATACATAAAGTTGAACGTATGTTTAAATAATAGGGACACATTTAGACATAAGAGATACACAAAAGAACTAAATTAAACTTGTAAAGATAAAAAAAATCTATTAATAGATATTAAAATTTGATGGATAAGTTTAGCAACAGCCTAGGTACAGCAAAAGAGAAAATTAGTAGAGTGTTCTAGTCAAGAGAAGAAATTATTCAGAATGCAGCTCAAAAGGAAAATACAAAAGAAGTGTCAGAGAGATGGGAGTTATGATACAGGTTTGATTAGAGTCCAGAAGAAAAGAGAAAAAGCAAGATACAAATAATATATGAACAGATAAAGCTGATAGTTTTTTAGAATTTATAAAGAAAATAAACTATGTAATTAAGCGAGCCAATGAATCTGACCTGAGATGCATGCAAAAGAAACAAAATAAATACAGAAACCAAAGCTCCATCTAGGTATTTTATAGCAAAATTACAGAAAACCCAAAACAAAGAATCTTAACAGCACTCAGTGAAAAATGCAATAGAATAAAGATGATAGAGAATCACGTGAAAGAATTCTATACCCAGCAAGAATAACTCTTAAGTATGTATGAAGACCAAAAGACATTTCAATAAAACAAACAACAAAAACAAACAGACAAAAAAAAAAAAGAGGGGGGGGGTTTCGCCAGCAGAGCATCTCTTAAGGAACTAAATAAAGTTCTTTAGAAAGAAGAAGGTGAACTCATATAATAGACCTGAGATGCGAAAATAAATAATAACAAAAAAGTAGTGTGTGTGAGAGAAAATGTAAAAGACCATGAACTATATATATATATATATGTATATATATATTTTAAAAGACCTAGTGAGGTTAAAAAATAACATAAGAATTAAAGTTAGAGACAAAATAGCACATTAAGTTAGGCGGAAGTACAGATGGAGTTCAAAGGATCTAACTTCTTAATTATATATGAAAGAAAATAAAGTTTTTGATCAATTTCAAATTTTGGTAGATTAGGTATGCAGATTGTAATTTGTCAAATCACAAAATCAAAAGCCCAACTTTTAACTTTTAAACTTTCAAAAGCGAAAAATAGAATGATAAAATATATTGTTTGAAGACAAAAAAAATTAACAATAAGAAACAATGCCATATAGACATGTACATAACTAGAAATAAAAGATAATTATGGCAGATTTAAAGTCAATAATACCCAAAGTAATAATGAAGGAACGAAAGATACTGAATTCTTCCAATAGGCAATGAAAATCATAAGCCTGGATAAATCTCCATATTCAATTATAAACAATCTATAAGATGTATATGAAAAATCTAACAAAACAGATTCACAAAAAATTACACAAAAACACGTACTTGATAAAAAATAATTGAAAAACGTGTACTTGACAAATATCAACAACATATTCTGGGAAATCTATATTAATATCATAAAATAGATATTACAACAAAAAATCATTTCTATGGTTAAAACCACTTTACAATGATAAAATATTTCATTTATCAAGGTAATATAATAATATGTATGTATGTACATAATGACATGGGGGCTAAAATCGTAAAGAAGAGTTGGTTATCATACCCCGTAGTCTAGGGCTCCATTTGGATTGTAGCTTTCCTAAGATAGCTAACAATTAGTTTCATAATAGTGTTGAGTACATTGGATACTTTTTCTTCCATTCTTGAGACACTTTGCTAAGGAGGACATTTTCCAGCTCCATCCATGTAAATATGAAGGAGGCAAGACTAAGGGGAAAGAAGAGGGGGGAGGGGGAGGGGCGGGGGAGGATGGGTGAAGAGAATGATATTGTGGGGATCATGCCTATAGTTTATTCTATTTGGGTACAGGTGAATTTGTCTAAAGGTTGAATATAAATGTCTTAGCATAACAATTATGAAAAAGACATGATGGCTATGTTGGCCACCTGGATGAGAGTTTTCCAAACTGCATGTAGAAGTAACACACTGTATCCTACGAGAGAATTAATGTACACAATTATGATCTAATAAAAAAAAAAAGAAAAAAAAAAATAAAAAAAATAAAATACTGACTTAAAAAAAAAAGAGTTGGTTATCATAAAAGTCAGGCTACTGGTCATCAGAGAGGAAAGAGTTGTGATTAGGAAATGATACTCAGGAGGGTTCTGGGATGTTAGTAAAGTTCTATTTCTTCATCTGAGCAATATTCACACATGTGCTAACCTATAAGTAAAAATATACAGAGAGGTGTAATTTTTACACTTCTGGACGTTTTGACTTATCATTAAAAAGCAGGCTGCACAATGGCATATACAGTCATCTCAGTTTTAGTTTCTATCTTTACGTATTTATATATTTATCTAAGTATGTCTTGATGTCATCAAAGAATAGACATGAAATTTTCAATCCATATTTGTGTCCGAAGGGTGGTTTTATACTTTCTTTTTCATTATATGTTTTGCTATAATGATTCTGTATTACTCTTATAATAAGGGGAAAAACGAATTAGGAAAAACACACACAATTTCTACCCCCAACCAGAAAGAAAATAGGGTTTCCAGAGAGAAGAGAGGTGAACAGAAGGATGTGTGTCACCCTGAAAAATGAAAGATGAATAGGTCTTTTGAAAGTAAGGCACAGATACTCAATGAGAAGGAAATACTTGGAAAGCAGCAGTGCTGAAAAGGACTTCAGGGTGAGTGTGGACAGCAAATTAGACAGAAGCCTGCAGTGTAAGGTGCCAGAAATGAGCGCCAGTGCTATTTTGGGCTGGAAAAGCAAAGGCACCATGGCACAAAACAAGGACAGGCAGCCTCTTATATCTATATATTTGGAAAGTCTGACTGTAAGGCAATAATTTTATATCAAACTGCTTTTAGCTTAAACTAGGTACAAGGAAGAAAATAGCCACCATGACCTAAAAATGATTATGGGGTTATGGAACTCACCAATGAGATAATTTTTCTATTTGCTTCATAGAGAACATTAGCCTCTTTTAATGCCAGCCTTAAGTTTTACTGAGGATAATGGTAAAAATGTGTATTTTTGAG